GCAGGCGCCACATAGGCGACACACGCATAGCAAACCTATAGCTGACTGGCCGCAGAGCGCCTCTCCTACAGGCCTTTCCAATTGCCCGACCGTTGCGGAAGTTACCAGTCTGCGCGTTTGAACGCTCGGAAGCGTTTGAAACGCCCCAGCTGCGTCTCTGCTTTCTCTCCCGCCAGGCGTTAGCACCATGCTGCGACTGCCCGCCGCGCACAGGGCCTTGGCCGGCGTCGCCCTGTCCTCCAGGGTGTGCGGTAAGAACCTGGCTGCACCTTGCAGCTACAGAGCTCGTTTGTGCATCTCTGGCTTAGTAAGCAACATGCTTTTGTGTGAGGGATGTGCAGTCTGGCGTTTTGGGGTGCATAGACCTGGTGTTAACTCAGCGCTGTGCGCCTGTCCGCACTTGAGCCATCATTGAAACTTTTTGTTTTTTCCTCCGTGTCCCAGGGCGCACAACTACTACAGCAGCCAGCAACCAGATAGAGGTGTTTGTGGATGGTAACCCTGTATTGGTGAACCCGGGAACCACCGTGCTTCAGGTGTGATGGACAGTGCGCTCAGTTTTCCTTCAGCTCCCCCTCTCTCCTTTTTGCTTTGCAGCCTGCTATGTTTCATAAGGCAAAAAAAAAAAAAAAGTATTTTCTGGCAGGTCTGTGTGGATGCTTTCACTGCCTGTGAAGTAGTTTCATATAGCAGAATTTAGGGAGCTCATTGCTTGAGAGCAGTATCTGCTGTGGCTCACTGAGGGAGTAGCGGTACAACTTGAATCCAGTCTGCAAAAATTTCTGCAGTGCCATAACAGACTTGCATAAATTCTGTTTGCGATTCTAGCTGTGAAAGATCACAATATCCTTTATGAAGGATCTTGCTCAATCTATAAGAATTATAGCAGTTGTCTATTCTTGTCTTGATATAAACCGAGCTGGTAGCCTTGTTAATTCTTGCACCTTATTTATTGGAATGGTGTCTCAGACAGAGGATATTTCCCAAGTTATTTATGGTTATGATTCAGAATGAGGCTCCTGCAATGCTTTTGTCTTTGTGCAGGAAGCAATGGGACCTGGTTCTCCCAGCCTGCAATCATTATTGCAGCTTTTCAGATAAAATATTAAATCATTCTTTTTCTAGTCTACCTTTTTTTTTTCTCAGCAGCCATTAAGTGAAGGGGAAGGAAGGACTTATTTTTCTAATGATTTCTACAAAAATTTACACCTGTAGACAACAAGTAAATAAAAAATATCCTTTAAAAAATATGATATAGCAGATGCCTCCTAGGGAGTCCTAATGCCTAAACAAATCAGTAACTTCATATACAGAGAACCAAGGTTGTATTTCAAAATAAACATATGCTATAGATAGCAATGATCTAATTAATTAGGTCCTGGTGGCTCTCTTAATCCAAGTGTGCTTTGCTGATTTCTGACATATGCCCATGTTTTCAAAGTGATAGCGTTTATTGTGGCAGCTTTTGTTCTCTAGCACAATACTACAGCTTCTCTATGACAGGGGGATAGAAGAGTGTTTCAGAGGCTTTGAGGTTGTGCTGAATGTGAAGGATGGCTGTGCTCCAGTATTCAAAAAAGTTCAGTGCACTCATAAGGACGATCTATGTTGTTGAATCATCTAAAGTTATACCTCTTATTGCTTCCTTAAACCTTTTAAAGCATGCCCTTTACATGCTTTTCATTAAACTGTTTATACTGTCTTTAAAGGTTTTTCCTTCACTCCTCCCCCCCCCAATGAAAATAATTCTCTCTCCTTGGAGGAAAGGAAAAAATGAAGAAGGCGATTTTAATTTTCCCAATCAAGTATGCATTTTGGAATAGACATCATATTTGCAATTCACCATCTTACATAACTTAGATCACAATTTTTGAGTTGAGCCTCAATTATATTTACAGGGTGGAGCTGCAGGATCCAGCTCCAATTTAATTTTCCTTTGTTTCTTCTTTTTAGGCCTGTGAAAAGGTTGGAATTCAGATCCCCCGTTTTTGTTACCATGATCGTCTCTCTGTTGCTGGAAACTGTAGGATGTGCCTTGTGGAAATAGAGAAAGCTCCCAAGGTATTACATCAATATTACAGGAGTTACAATTTCCTGCTGTGTGTAGAGTTTAGTTGAAGTTTTGTAAATAAATAATTGGACTGTCATCAGCACATATATCTTTGTAATTCCAGCTGCTGTGAACAAATTTTCCCCCTTCCCTCACCTAGCTTCATCTCTGTGTTATGTACAGAGATACCCTTTTCACAGTGGTTGTCTGCTCTCTAGATCTATTTGGGCACCAGGGTTGGAATCTGCAGAGGTTCCTCCCAACTTCAGCAATTCTATTTTTTTAGACTACTCCTGTGTCTGTAGGTATGAATTAAACATGCTTGAAAACCTAGTGTGACATTGCATCCTCAAGGCAGTTAGGGATGCATTTTGTCTTGCTAGCGTGGTTTATTTCATTGGAACAGTTTCCATGTTCAAAGCCATAACTTGGTTCTTAAAGGCAGTGATGAAATTAACCTTTCTATTTAGATGAATATATATGACTTCTAATATCTTCATATTGGGTAGGCTTTATTTTTCTCTCCTTGCAAATGCCTTCTTATTTCTGCGAGGTGTTAGTTAATAACAGATACCTCTGTAAGGATTGGGAGGAGGGGCGTGGATTGTTCTTACCAAAAAGAGATATGTTATGTTCATACGCCATTTTTTTTCTTCCTTATTGTGATTATTATAGCCAGTGGCTGCTTGTGCCATGCCAGTTATGAAGGGTTGGAATATACTGACAAATTCTGAGAAATCCAGGAAAGCAAGGTACTCTTTATTTTTGTTAATTATTTTTAAGCTTTTTGTAGCTGCTTGGTTGTACCTGCCTACTTGTTAAAAGTGTGAAAAGTTGCTATTAACTGTAATTCTTGAACTCAACAGGGAGGGTGTGATGGAATTCTTGCTGGCAAATCACCCATTGGACTGTCCTATTTGTGATCAGGGTGGAGAATGTGACCTACAGGTACAGCAGCACCCAATTAAATTGTGTAGCTTTATGTAGTAATGCTCTTGTCTTGGGCAAAACTGTGCTTTCAAGCAACGTGGATATATCTATTTGTTTGTTATCTATTCTAGGATCAATCAATGATGTTTGGCAGTGATAGGAGTAGATTTAGAGAGGGAAAACGTGCGGTTGAGGACAAGAACATTGGCCCATTAGTCAAAACAATCATGACTCGGTGTATACAGTGCACTCGATGTATCAGGTAATGTCCTTTATTTTTCATTGGAGAGAGTGTCAAACAGGAATGTTTATAGCAATTAGTTACTCATTCCTTGTGAAAGAAATACCATTGGGGCAGTAAACTTTTCATTTCTTTCTGACTGTATTTAGTTTTATTTCTGGTAGGCACCAAGCAGCTAATTCCTCTATGGGAGAGATGGCCAGAACATGGAAGTGAAATCAGAATTTTATAGGCTAGAACCAGACCCTTTTTTTATTGTCAGAATAGATTTTAAAGTATCAAGTGACTTCAATGGTATTGCCAAAATTTATTTATTTCTGGCAGCCTCTGGTAGTCATCTTTATATTCTTATGTAGTCCTGAGATTCTGCACCAACTAAATAGAAAAGAATACAATGCAACTGTCTAGTTCTAGAAAGACATTTTTAAATTATAGGTAATTTTTGACTCATCTTCTGAAATTCAGTGACCAGTGAACTAGTCTCTGTTGCTTTTAATAAACTATGAAAGGTTTTGCAGTCTCATTTTAAAGAAATTCTGCAGATGGATATTTCTGCTTGTGATGGGACTTGGTAATGTATCTAAATTGCCCTCCTCTTGCAGGTATATGAACTGATGCCAATATTTTACCCTAAGAAAATGAGATAAGACTTGAAAAATATGCTGTGTCGCTCTTGCACACTTCATATTTATTTTTCATTCTCTTTGCATCTACCAGGTTTGCTAGTGAAATTGCAGGGGTAGATGACTTGGGAACAACTGGAAGAGGAAATGATATGCAAGTTGGTACTTACGTCGAAAAAATGTTCATGTCTGAATTGTCAGGGAATATTATTGACATCTGTCCAGTTGGGGCTCTTACCTCCAAGCCGTATGCCTTTACTGCACGCCCATGGGAGACAAGGTATGTGTCTCAACTCATATCAAGGGGATACATTTTTCTTGCATGTGCAAGGTGGTGATATCAAGAGTTTTCTGTTTTATTTTTTTTTCTGCATTTTGTTATATATCCTTCTACAGATTGAATCTAATTCAAATTCTGTTACTGAAGTAAATTTTGTCTGAAGAAAGTCAAATTCAGCAACATGGTTAATTGGTAAAGATATTTTAAATGTCTTGTAAACTAGTGCTTTGATGT